TTGGGACACAGTTCTCTCTCTCCCTCTCTCTCCTCTCTTTCTTCTCTCCTCTCTCTCCTCTCCCCTCCCTTCCCCCCAACACCTGCTTCCTTATACTAGCACATCAGTGGTGAACGCAACAATAAAAGTGGAGTAAGGTTTAATTCTGGGCATTTCTCATTAACTTAGGTAAGTAGTACCTATTCCCTGACTGAGGCTCAGCATACCAAGGGCAAGACATTGGAAAGTACTATGAGATCATTGACACTTACAGGTACCATACACCTAGCAAATAATCAGAAGCAAGGGAGGTGGTTGTCCTGTCTTCAAATTCATCAGAATGTGGGAGCTTGATAGGTGAACATTAATTCAGTATGGCCCCATTCTCTACCTTGTGTGGATTACTCAGGGAGCAAGAATTAAATTCTGAAATAAGGCAATAATCTGTATCATCCCTTATGAGTAAACTTTCAGAACCCAGATATCCTAGAACTAATGGGATTTAAGTCAATTTAGCATCTGGCTGACCTTCTCCTGTAAGATGGCTGTTTAATTCTTAAACATCAGGGTTGTTCTGTGGATTTTTTTCAGGAAAGGCACTTTGGCTACTTAACATCTTTTTGGGTCAAGTGTGACTTGTGGGTGGTATGTGTGTACCCATCAGTTGGTGCTACCCTGAGCTGTGTGTCAGCATTGTGCTTGTCTACTTTTATGATAAATGAGTGGTGGTCATCTGCCCATTCTGTGCCATGGCACCCCAGTTCATGGTCTCATTTAAGGAGTTTTCAAATTTTGATGTCATTTCCTTTGATATTTTTCTTTATTATTTTTGTTGTACACACACTGTTTGTTCAAAATCCCTTTGCCATGATGCCCAAGTCTGTCTCTCAGAAGAGAAAGTTGGTACCAACAAAAAGGAGAAAATGGTCTGCTCACTCCCTGTGCAGAAAAGGAATTTGCTAGCTCTGCTGTCCCCTGGGAACTTCTAGCATGCTGGTTCCCTGGCACATCTCAGATGTCACTAGCATGGGAAGGGAGCTGGAGGCTTTTCTAGAATTGGAAAAAAATAGTCTCCTCGGAATCTTCCATAGGTAAGCCAGTGGTGAACATTTTAATATTTAAGTTGTCTAAAAGCAATAAAGAAAGCTGCCTTTAATATCATTATCCTCTTCTTTCACTCCCTCATCTTTGCCCATAGAGTTCTTTATTTTCAATTTCCATTGTGACCTAACTTTATGGTTAGGTATTGTCATTTTTATTTTAAGAAAAAGCAATGATTCTCCCTAAGCCCTACAATCTTTCAAAGTAATCCTCTCCTTTGAGAGAACAGAATTCTACTCCAGCTGTTTTAGGTAATGATTTATTGATTGGTTTATCAAGTTACACTCCAACGTATTCATTATGAATGAGAACTCAAATAAGTTCACATCTTGGCTCTGCTACTCCCCAGCTGTGAACTTGGGCTTCTTAATTTAGCATTTCTATGCCTCAGTTTCCTGGTCTGCAAGTGGAGTTAATAATAGTTCCCTTAGGATTTGTGAATGTCAGATGAGTTAATCCATGTAAAGCACTTGGATATACTTGACAGGATAAGCACTTTTAGGAACTGTTAAATCTTATCATTATTAATGCATCCAGTAATATTTTATTTCTATTTATTAAATGCTTACTGTGTACCAAGACTTAAGAGTCATTTTCTGACTTAATTCTCTTTTTTTGTTTTGTTTTTTAAGATTTATTATACTTACAGAACTGGGGTATAGGCCAGAGGTGTGGTGGGTAAGAGGGTTCACCAGAGACAGAGTGGGGAACAGTACAGGCAGATCTACTGCAATACATTGCTAAGAGGAGCATCAGGTGGGTCAGGAGAGGTCTGCCGTGCCTTGTGGGTCAGCTCCCTGGCTGGGGATTGAACTCATGCAGCAGTTGCTTTAGAGAGCTTCAGAGTGCAGTACTTTTAACCTGTTGCGCCAACCAGGGAGAGCCCCTGACAATTCTTAACACAATTATATAAAATAACTTCTATTAATATCACCATTTTATAGAAAAGAAAAATGCAGACTTAGAAAATGTGAATTATGTGCAAGAATTATACAATGAAAAGTAATTTAAACCAAAACTGCAGCTCAGCTTTGTGCAACTCTGAAGCCTGTATTCCTGCCCATGACATAATCTTGCTTTGCCTAAATAGCAATCTCTGGTACATCATAGGTGTTCAATGAATCTGATTGAATAAAACGTGCAGAGCTTTCTGATAATTTAGCTCTCTGTTCTTTGGCTTTAGTCAGTAGGACTTTTTGGAGAACTAACTGTGTGCTAGACCTAAAAGAACTAGAACTAGCTATATCCTCAGGTAACTTATAGTCCCAATGGAGAACTAAGACTCCACAAGGTACAAAGAGAATTGGGGTTCAGCTGCTCTGTGGCAGGGTGTATACTGTAAGACTTGTATAACAGAAACTTGTGGCATTTCCCTTCAATATAGCTTTTATTTGGTGTATGGGGAAAACAAAATTAGTAAGATATTTTTTGTCCATTATTTATAATAAGCCTTATTTTGAAAGTTGTATTGATTAGCATTTTTTCACTATAAACAACCTAAAATCAATTGCTCTGTAACAAAAGTCAATTATGATGACACTATTTTAAGCCTGATTACCAAATAATAAAAATGTAAAAAGGGACACAAGCATAGACTTAGGAAGCATGATAGCACTAATCATTTTGAAGAAGGGAAGGGATCCTCATAGGCTGGAGCTGACCACGGCAGAGGAGGAAGTAGAGCTGGGCTTACAGAGTGAGTGCAGTAGACCCAGAGAGCATCACCCTTGGAATCCAGTGAAAAATGCACAGAGGGACTGGGCTGGCTAGAACAATAGGTTAGGAGATAGTAGAAAGAGGTTGGGTAGATTATTGATGGCAAGTACTATATTGTGAAACTTTTTTATGACTGGCAAATGTTTACTGAGTACCTACTCCTGTTAATGAGTCACTTCCATTTATATTGTTATAAAAATGTTTTCTTTAATGCTCTTACAGATGGTCTTTTCAGTTCAGAAAGGAAAACAAACTATAAAAATAATTGGCTGGTCTCCTTGCTCTCCAATAGCAATGTTCATTTCACAAGCTCAGGGAAGCTGTGCATGCTGAGCATGGGACTTTAGCTCTCTGGAGAGGTAGGGCTGATGGCACGGGTCCTGTGTAGGAAGACTGCACTGGTAGAGATGGAGCACTCCAGTCTTACCTTCTTCCTAGGAGAAACTATCAGTAACTCTCCTGATTTGTCCTTTTTAGCAACTTTTGTGTCACTTGAATTAAGCATTGTGGTATGTAGCTCATCTTGGACAGGAAGTAGTGGGGCAATCAGTTCACATTCCTGTTAGGACCTTAGCTTACTGGGTCATCTTTGGTGTCACTTTCCTCAACCATGAAATGAGTAGGGATGTAAAGGGGTCATGAATTGTATAAAAGTCAAAATGTCAATTTTAAGGGCCCTCCCTGGTGGTGCAGTGGGTTAAAGCACAGCACTAAGAAGCTTAAGCCACTTCCACATGAGTTCAATCCCCGCCTGCCCCGGAGGAGATCCACATGGCGTGGCAGACCTCTCCTTACCCGCCCGCTGCTCCCCTCAGCAGTGTACTTCGTTGATCTGCCTGTTCTGCTCCCCTCTCTGTCTCTGGTGAATCCTCTCACTCTCCGCATCTCTGGCCTGTACCCCAGTTCTATGTGAATAAATAGATAAATCTTTTAAAAAATGTGAATTTTAAGCACCCCTAAAAATTATGAAGATCCTCTGTCTTTATCTCTGCCTGTGCTCACACAGAAAGTCATTCTGCATCCCAGGAAAGCCTGTCAAAGTCAGATGCCTGGGCCTCAGACTCACTAAATCAGACTTTGCCAGGGTGGGCCCCAAGTACCTGCATTCCAGTATACCTTTCAGGTGATTGTGAATATGGGCCGTTTTAGTAACTAGGAATTATTCATCTTAGACATGGTCCTCGCATGCTGGTTCTTCCAGACCCCTGGAAAAAACCAGACTTGTGTTTAGCACAGTGGATATTTGTGGAAGATTAGTTAACATAATTTTGAGAATTATTATTTCTTTGGGGGAATACTTAGAGACTTTGTGAGTCCTCTTAGTATCTAAAACCCTAAATGGGTTACTTAGAAGTTCAAAAATGTTCTCTCCTGTTAGATCTGATTAAATTGACTTAAAAAATCCACTTATTGAATACAAATTAGTTGGTTTATTTTCCTTGAAATTATTGTTTGCGCTAGCACCCAGTCATTGATTACCCTGGTATTTATTTAGCAGCTACTAGCCAGACTAACAGCATTATTCTAGCTCCAATACTAGCTTTATACTACCACTGGAAATCTAAAAAGACCAGCTATGTGATATATATCCTTGAGAAGAACTTCAGTACATTATTAGCAATCTTTTCTCAGTTTTGGAAAGTAAGGTTTTTTTGTTGTTTGTTTGTAAGTAAGAAAATTGAGTCTCAAAAATTGAGAAATGTGTTGAAGGAAAATGAAGATTTTGTCCAAGGTTGCACATTTAATATGACAGAGCAGGGATTCATCTGAAGATTTCCTGTCCCAGAGCCCTCTTTGTCTTCACTAAGATCTACTGTTGTTCTTGGTTGCTGATCCTCACGTAGTATAATCTGGGGAAGTGTCTCATATATTACATGGAGCTCAAATCTGCCAGTCTAAATTTTGTCAAATATGTTTTCTGTTTTTATCTATAATATTTTGATCTGTATTCATTGGAGGGGAAGAGGGAGTTGTTTCAAATGCTGATTATTTCTTTACCTTCTTAGAGTTGAGCTTGATTTTTGAAACCTAAATGTAGATACTTTTTTTCCTCATGCTGTTCTGAAGTGCTTTTTTGTAATACTTAAAATCTAAACCACAACTTTATGAGCGGATCTACTTCTTATACCTGATGAACTATTTTTGTTTGTTTTCCTTTATTGAATAATCACCAAATAAAAACTACTGATTCTCTTCTATTTCAGATTTGATGGAAACTTTAATACCAATGTATCTAGGACAATTAGTTGTGATCGACTTTCTACTACTGTTAATAGTCGAGCCTTCAATCCAGGACGAGACTTGAATTCAGGTCAGTAATCTCTTGGAGATTTTATAAAGGTGAACTGTATCCCATTATGTTCAAATTAAATCAGTGTGCTGCTTTAGATATTTCCCTTTAAGGTTTGAAGGAAAATGTCGTATACTTTAAATCAGGTATTTCTTGCTGCAAAGTTGACCCTCAAAAGAAAGAAAAGAGGAAAAATGTTGAGCCAAAATGTGTTGAGCATTGACTGTATGGAGGGCCTGTGCAAGACTTTGCTAGGTTCTTCTGTTCATTATCTCCTTTGTTATGGTTTTGCCTTTGTTAAGTTACATCAAACCTATTTATCTTTGCCATAGAAAGTATTGAATTTCATTTGCATCTCCTATTTATAATTTTTATTTGTTTTGGGGTTTGTTTTGTTTTGTTCTTTAATAATAGAGATTTTTCTACTACTGCACAGTGGTGCTGTATGTTAGGCTGAAGTTTCTTCCTGGTTACATGCAGTAGTAGTAACTAAGAGGGCAGCTGTGCATGTATAATTCCAAATTGACTTGATGTCTCTGTTTTCTTGCTCTGGAGTTTAGTCCATGTTTCCACCCTGTCTGTTTTATAACATGTACATTTCGATTGGTGGACCTCAGAAACTAAAAGCTTCACTTTTAAGAGCTGAAAGAGCCTTAGAAATCACCTACCAGCTTTAATCCTCAGATTTTACCAAGGAAATATCTGAAATTCAGAAGGGTCCTAAGACTTCCCTAATTGCTATAAAGATAAGGCGCTAATCCTTAACCATGAATAACTATATTTTCCAAATTGCAGGTCCCTTGTGGACATGTAAAACCTAAGGGAGAAGCAAGAGAACCAGAATATTTATTTACTTTTAGAGCTCCATCCTATCTCTTTTTCTCCAGGGGTAGAATCGTAGACTTTGGTAATTGTATATATGAACCAGGGAATCTATTAGGTCTAGAAAGAAAGAACTGTAAGCTTCTGTTATTCAGGAATCATAAAACTATAGCTGCTAGCTAAAGAGTCGACCTAAATCAGCCAGGCACATATTGTCTGGACTTAATGCAGGATAAACTCAGTCATTGTCTTATTGACCAGAGAATCCAGAGACCCTCTGGAAGGTAAGATTTACTGCTAAAAAGGAAGAAGCTAGGGCCCTCCCTGGTGGCGCAGCGGGTTAAAGCACTGCACTGAGAAACTAAAGCCGCTTCCGCATGAGTTCAATTCCCGCCTGCCCCGGAGGTGACCACATGGCGTGGCAGACCTCTCCTGACCCGCCCGCTGCTCCCCTCAGCAGTGTACTTCATCGATCTGCCTGTTCTGCTTCCCGCTCTGTCTCTGGTGAATCCTCTCACCCTCCGCATCTCTGGCCTGTACCCCAGTTCTGTATGAATAAATAAATCTTAAAAAAAAAAAAAAAGGAAGAAGCTAAATGAAAATATTTTTTTATAAGAAAACAGTTAAAAAGAATGCAGAAGGGCATGGAATGGATGAAGAATTTGCATTATGAGAGCTTTCATAGTCAGCACAGCATACCAAATACATAATGCAATCCAACATTGTGTGTAGTTAAAATGTTCATAGTACATGATAACATGAACTATACCCTCAAGTTTTTTATGAGTGAATTTTATATACAGAACCTAGAAGGGCTCATCACTGTGAGTTAGTAGTTAAGTTAAAGTGATAGAACTGCAGATATTTTTAACCTCCATTTTAATTTTCTAATCTCATCATAACGGAGGCATGAGGCAAGAGGATTAAAAAGTACTTTCAAATGCTTTTGTGCTCCTTACTAGTAGTCAGTACCTTCTTAATATGTTTCTGATAATAGATCTTCAGTCTGGTGCTGAGGTTCTAGGTAAAGCTCCATGATACTCCTGGCTATGTGACTGAGGCTGTAAGAAAGGCTTGGGCAGACTGCTTGTCTCATACTCATTTGGGAATCAGTGAAACTCCACCACCCAGATGACCCACCTCAGTCAACCACACACTGGAGGATCTCAAAGCTGCCCCAGTCAGGGGCATCCTCATTGCTTATTTTTTATCTGTTGCTAGTTTCTGTTAATGGGGTTATAGTTGACATCTGAATGTCTCCATCACTAATAGTTGTCTTTCATGCCTGTCTCTTAGTGAATACAGAAGTAATTCTGCGAGGTCATAATCACCTACTGAGATGAATAAGAAAAATAAGAATTAATTCAATAAATATTTATTAGGCACTCGATGTGGCAAACTCTTCTTTTTACTAGGTCAGCTATAAGCAAAACAAAAAGCATGTATTCTGAAATCTGGGGCACACAGATTTTAAATAAATAGACAAGAAAGTATACATGTCAGATGATGGTGAGTGTTACAGAAGAAAAGTAGCAGGGGATGAAATGTCAGGAATACTTTGGGATTGAGGATGGGCACTGTGGGAAGGAAGGAGAAGAGGGGATGACTTTTTTTAAAGATTTTTGTTTTATGCTTACAGAACTGGGGTACAGGCCAGAGGTGTTGTGGGTGAGAGGATTCACCAAAGACAGAGTGGGGAACAGAACAGGCATATGTACTGAAACATACTGCTAAGGGGAGCAGTGGCCAGATCAGGAGAGGTCTGCCATGCCATGTGGGTCAGCTCCCTGGCGGGGGATCGAATTCGTGCTGCATTGGCTCCTGAGGGCTTCATAATGAGGAGTTTTAAACTGCTGCACCACCAGGGAAAGCACGAGATGACTTATTTTAGTGAAACCTAAGTAAGTGGGTCTCTAAGTAATGAGCATGACTAATGGAAGTGTGCCCTGGGTGTGCAGGCTTTGGGTTGGGAAGATGTTTGTTGTCCTCAAAAAAACCAGTAAGCTGCAGTTGGCTTCAGTTGAGTGAAAAAGGTGGGGAGTGTACCAAAAAATCAGGCTTAAGAGGTGATTTGGGGGCTAGGTAACCAGTAGATTAGAGGAAAAAAGGGCTTACACACAGAAGTCACATGGCTGAACTTAGATTAAAAACGTATCACTTCTATGGCAAAAAGAAAAATTTGATTCTAACAAGGTGAAGAGGGTAGGCATAGGGAGACCACCCCTAAGAGATTCTTCCAATATCCTGGTGAGAGGTGATGAAGGCATTAATAAAAGTAATAATGTTGAGAAATGATTAGATTCCGAATACGTTTTGAATGAACCAATAGAAAATGCTGATTAATTGGATGGGGTGGGGCAGAGTATGTGGTATTAAAGAGTCACTCAGGAAAGACTTCCAAGATATTTGGTCTTATCAGTGAGGACAGAGTTACCTTTTACACTGTCAGGGATATTGGGGGGGGGGGCAAGCAGGTTTGTGTAGGAAGTGGAATCAACATTTCAGTTTGAGAAAAGGTAAGTTTGAAGTGTGTATTAGATATCTAAGTGGAAAGGTGTTTCAGGCAGTTGGCAGTACAAGTCTGGTGTCTAGGGAGTAGGCCAGACTGGAAAGGTGAGATTGATCATCTTATTAAGATCAGACAGCAAGTAGCTACGGGTAAACAAGAGAAGGGTTCCAAGGACTGAGTCTTGGAGCACTTTCCCATTGAAAAGACGAGGAGACAATACAGGAATCTGAGGAAGATGTCAGTCTGGTGGAAGGAAAAGTAAGAGCTTTCTTCTTAATGCCAAGTGAAGAAAGGATTTCAAGAAGGAAGGAGCCATCAGTTGTGTTAAGTAGGCCCAGTAAGATGAAGGCCAAGAAAACAAAACATTGGATTTTGCAACATGCCCATGAACTTGACAGGGATTGTTGGGATAATAGGAATAGAATGACAAACTGATCCTGAGTGGTTTAAGCTCTTAGGAATGGAGGAGGGGAGTTGAAGACCATAAGTAAATGAACTCCTAAAAGTTTCACTGGAAGGTCATGTGATCTGAACAGAATATTTTTAAATTGGAAGAAATTGTAGCAGGGTTATGTGCCACATGGAATGATCCAAGAGAGAAACTACTGACACAGCCAATGATTGCTACAGCCTTTTCCTTGGCTAGGCAAGAGATGATGGGATCACAGGGGCCTAGAAGCACAAATCATTGATATTTAGTAAGAAGAGGGAAAGAGAGTAAGTGGGTAGCAATGCCTGCAAGCGATGCAGTGTGGAGAACTAGAAGACATTCCCTCACTAGGTGATTCTCTTTTCTCAAAGAATTCGGAAGCAAGTTCACCAACCGAGATCATAATGCTGGGAAGAGGTGTTTAAAAACCTCTAGCTAAGATTGTATTCTGTGAGTGGAGTTTTAGCCTGGAACTCAGCTGCACAAGTAATTGGGAAGCCTGATAATATACTGTCTCCATTCAAGTTTTTATTTGTTAAAGGGAGATAATTTGGAAAATCAGAAAGTGGGAAAGAGGAGGATGGTGAGGACAGATGCATGTCATGGGAGATCAGGTCTTGAAATTTGCTAGTTCTTAGAACATGCATATCTCAAGGGTAACGCACTAAAAGTTCTCAACAAAGTTGACGTAGCCTGATTTACAGGCAGCTTTTGGCAGTGCTCAGGTATTTGAAAACTGACTTGTTTATATTTGAAGTTTTGTGACATTCCACCAGGCAGTGGCTGAGTCCCAAAGTCCACAGTCTCCAGCAGTCATTTGTAGTATGTGAGGAATAGTAGATGGTGAAGGGGAGTGACCTCAGAGCTTCCCCTTTCCTACTCCCAGCTCATACCCCCTTTCACAGCAGAATTAATGTGCTCCATAGGCTATCACATGTCTGATATTTACATCTGTAAGATGTCTAGCCGAAGGCTCTTTCAGACTGTATATAATCCATCAATGGGTCCCTAACTAATAACAGTTTCAGATTGCCTTTCAAACTTACTGCAAATAGACTCACATAAACTGTAAACCATTCTTAGCTTCATTTAGCCAAAACTAGGCCATGTGCCCTTCTAACTAACAGACACATGTATTTTTCTAAAACCCATCCCTGCCAGGTCTTTACTTTTTAAATTGATTCCTTGTCCCTGATAACATTCAAGTAACTGTTGCTTGACAGTGCATACATTATATTATGGTACTGGTCATGTTTTGCT